GTCTCAGGTCATGACCTCATGGTTTGTAGTTTTGAACTCCATATCGGGCTCTGTGCTGACAGCTCAGAGCCTGGAGCCTGCTTTGGATACTGTGTCTCCTTCTCTCTCTGCCCCTCCCCCACTCACACTCTGTCTCTCAAAAATAAATAAACATTAAAAAAAATTTTTTTAAATCACATTTTATTTATCTCTTCTACTGTTGATAAACATTTGGTTGTTTCTAGTTTTTAACTATTTTGATAACGCTGTTATGAGCATTATGTACTTGTCTTGTGGTTTACACACACACACACACACATTTCTGTTGGGAATATTCCTGGGAGTCTATTTTTGGGTCATAGAATATACTTATGTTCTGCTGTAGTAGCCACTGTCAGTATCTTTTTTAAATGGCTGCACCAATTTACACTCCCACCAGCAGAGTATGAAAGTTCCAGTTGCTGCACACCCTTATCAATACTCGTTGACACTTTCTTGGTTTGGTTTTATTTTTGCTTATTTTCTCATTGAAGCAGAGTGATAAAGTAAAAAAGGAATATGTTTTTAGTCAAGGCAACAGCTGATTTAAATTGTAGTTCCACCACCTGTTAGCTATGTGCTCTCAGGCAGGTTACATCAATACTCTGAGCCTCAGTTTCCTCTTTGTAAATTGGAATAAAGCCTCTCGTGTAGGTTTATCTTCAGAAAGAATGCCTGGAGGCATAATGACTAATATTCTGCATCATGCCCTATATAGGTGTTACTTTAATTCTTTCCTCTTCTGAATGATCATAAATCGGAAATGAAACCAAAAGAAAAAAAAAAGTCTCAAGAGGAGTCAGAGAAATAAGGCAGACGGAGGAAGGTGAGGAGCTTCTAAGATTCTTTATCATTATAAGTAACGTAAGTGGCTCCCCTTATCACATCATCAGAACTTTTTTCTTGGATTCAGGTCAACTGTGGGATTCTGGAAGGCTGGTTGAGACAGCAAGGAGAAAACAAAGAGTTTCTGAGAAGAATCTTATTATTTTAAATATTTATTTGAGAGAGAAAGAGAAAGAATGGAGGAGGGGCAGACAGAGGGGGGCATAGAGGACCCAAAGCAGGCTCCAAGCAGCAGAGAGCCTGATGCAGGGCTTGAACTCACAAACCACGAGATCATGACCTGAGTCTCAATCAAGAGTTGGAATACTTAATCCACCAAGCCACCCAGGCGCCCCATCTGAAGAATCTTAAATCAAACTCTTCTCAGCACTGATAGAAACTGTACCAACACAGCCTAGTCAGCTGCTCTGTCCAGGAAACAATGAGGGAGATGCACCCAAGAGATGTACATGCTAATGGAGATGATGTCGTAGAGCATCATCACAACTCCTGGCTGGGAGGCAGGTTTCTGCTCTGCCAAACTGTTGGGCCTCCTGGGCCTGAGCTGTGTCTCCATTTGCTGTGTCGTCTCACTGCCTCACTAAGTGTCCAGGCAACAGACACAAGGAGCACTGCCAACTTGATAAGAAACTTAAAAGCAGAATTTATCTGGTTCAGAAGGCTGGGTTGGCAGAACCACAGAGCTACCCAGCTGCTACATTTTGACTTAATGGCAAAAGTGCTAGTCCCATGATCTATAGAACACCTTCCCTGCTGTCCATATTTGTCAAGTTACCCTTCTTTTTATTTCTTTTTATTTTTTTTAATGTGTATTTATTTTTGAGACCGAGAGAGACAGAGTGCGATTGGGGGAGGGGCAGAAAGAGAGGGAGACAGAATCTGAAGCAGGCTCCAGGCTCCTAGCTGTCAGCACAGAGCCCCGACACGGGGTTCGAA